GTGTGTGTGTGTGTGTGTGTGTGTGTGTGTGTGTGTGTGTGTGTGTGTGTGTGTGTGTGTGTGTGTGTGTGTGTGTGTGTGTGTGTGTGTGTGTGTGTGTGTGTGTGTGTGTGACTGGGCGCTTCGTGTGCACCCATCCAAGCTCAGAGCAAAACATCCCAGCGCACGTTTCCACGCACATGCCCCCCCGCCCCACCAACACACATACAGAGACACAATTCGCTTGGTACCGACGTTGATGAGGCCAACATATTCCAGAAAGTCGATGCTATCGTCTTTGTTGATGTCCATGTCCAACAGCAACGCGGTGACTTGATTCACACTGAAGATGAGGTCTTGCTTCGTCAACCACTTGTCAAGCTCTGTGCCAAAGGTTCAAGTTGGGTGGGGATGTCGACAGGAGTCAACAAAGGAGATCAGCACATTCGGGCGGGTGGATTCACCTTCACACACACACACACACACACACACACACACACATACACATACCTTCACACGCCTTCACACACACCTTCACACACCTTCACACACGCATACACATACCTTCACACACCTTCACACACACACACACATACACAAACCTTCACACACACACACACATACACACACACATACACGCATACAACCCCTCTCCGTGTACCTCTTCGTGCTCTCACCCCCCCCCCAAACACACACACGCCCTTCTTCTTGCTTGCGAAGTCGAACCTGTGACATCGATGAGACCGTTTCCGTCAATGTCTGCTTGTTGGAACACCCGCTCGGCTCTGAGCACGGTGGAGAGCTTCATGTCTGGGTAGTGTTGTGCGATCATGTCGTAGGTGATCTCTTCTCCCTCCTGTTGATCGCCGTCCTGCCCGTGCTGTGCTGTCGATCCTGTGCTGCTTCTGTCGCCCTTCTTGCGGCGGCGCTTTGCCTTGCCCTTCTTCTTGGCCCCGCTCTTCTTCTCCTTCTCCTTCTTCTCCTTGGTCACCTCCAGTGCGGCCTTGAGGTTGGATGCGGCCTCCTCCTCCATTTGGCGGATGGTGTACTGCGCCACACGCAGGTCCGACTCGAGAGACTTGATACGCTCGTCGCGCAGCGACAGCTCGCGCTCCATCACAGCCATGCGCTGCTTGAGCGCCGTGACCTCCGCTGCCGGGCTCGGCATGGAGTCAATCGCGTCCAGCGGGTCGCTCATCGTGCGCCTTGCTTGCTTTCCTGCTTTGTAAGGAGCGTGGGGGGGGGGGTTGCCAAGCCGGCAATGAGCTGTGAACGAGTGAATGCAATCGACGTCAAACGCTTGCTTCCTTGCTTGTTGGCCCTCCCTTTCTTCTCCGTCAGTCAGCGGCCGGTGGGAGCTGATGGTGGTGAGAGCACAACAAAGTCTGGTTCAGCTGGCTGGAGTTGGGGGTCAACAAGTGAAAAGAAGGTGCGTTGGTGTCTGTGTGCTGTTTCTTGTGTTCTTCTGTTGCCTTTTGCTTCTTGACAACCACGACCCAAACGCCCCCAAGAGGGAAATTTTGTCGTTGACGCCTCGCAACATGTGCGAGATGTTTCGTGGCAGCCACTGTGCGCGTGCGTGTGAGTGGCTGGCTGGCTGTTTGGTTGTGCACTTATCCTCCGTCCATCCTTCTTTCTTACCCCCCCCCCGACCTCTCCTGGCATCCCCATCACCCTTGACTTGCCTGTTGTCTTTTTCTTTCTTGTTTTGTTAGTGTTGATAGCAGCAACCACAACAAAAGGAGACGAAGAAGAATGCGACACCCCGGCATACACGGACACCCAATCCAATAGAACCACTGGCGCATGAGGAATGACGCTGGTGGTTCACCCTTCACGGCCAGCACAAACAGCCTCCTTTGTCATCGCCGATCATCACCAGTTCATGGTTGACACAGGTCCAAAGGTGCTCTGCTTAGTTGCGCTGAACCTCAAAGACGACGTTCTTGCCCGTGAGCTTGTTGTACACGGTGGAGTAGGTCGCAATCTGTTCGCATGCAGCGTCGGTCAAAGCGAAAGGAAGCACAACACATGGAAAAAAAAGGCACGGGTGAGTCAAGCACCAATCGTGGAGCCAGTCGACAAACCTTGCTCGATTGAGGGCACAGTGACAATGAAGCGCAGTCGAGAACCGAGCATTGCGTCGCTCTTAAGCAGGATGGTGCCACACGACAAAGACAACGGTGCACACGATAGGCAATCACACGCATTAACATGCACCAACATCCACACACGCCCACATCGGTAAGCATCACAGGCATTCATGCACAAGAGCCAGACCTTGTCAGAGTCGTGAATCTCCTGGTGAAGGAAGACGCGGAGGAGGCGAGAGCCATCGTGGCGGTACCGGATGCGCTTGCCAGTGATCTCGTTGGGAAAGACAATGTCGTCGAGGATGGCCTCGTGCACGGCGGTGAGGGTGCGGCTGCGGGGGCGCTTCTGCTTCAGGGCCACTGTGTTACGGGTCTCCTTGCGGATGATACGGCGCTGTGCAATGATGAACACGCTCTTGCCGCTGAACTTCTTCTCGAGCTCCTCAATCAGCGATCGCTCCTTGATCAGCTTCTGGTACTTGGCCAGCTGGGGAACGGGCACGAAGATCAGGATTGCCTTCTTGTCGGCGGTGATGTCAATCTCCTGTGGGACAGGTAGCAAAACCCGAAAAAAAGGGGGGTAATGATGAGTGTGCATGAACAGTTCAGAACGTGCGAGCTCGTGTTGGATGACTTGGGAACAGGAACAGAAACCACGCAAAGGCGTCGTCACGTGCTTCGTGGGCGAAGAACATGCGTGTACAACAGCGTGTCATGCTCCAGCTCATGCACACACACACACACACGAGCACGGACAACGGCCCATCCATGACAGCATTGCATGCAAAGCAGAAGCGACAAGGACAACAACAACAACAACAACAACAACAACAACAACGACGACGACGACGACGACAGACAAATGAACAAACAAACAAACCTTGGCGGCGCAGATGACAAGCTCGCGGACAGACTCCTTCAGCTTCTCAGAGTTGAGCTGAAGTTCGTAGAGGGCCTGAACGCGCAAGCAAAACCAAACGAGGCACACAGCACAACAACCACACACGGCAAGCATGGGATGAAGTGAGATGGTGAACGAAACTGGTGGACACCATGACAAATGCAAACTCAAGGCTGCAGTGGTTGCCGTGTTGGTCATGAAAGCAGACACCCTCATGCATCAGCACGACACCACACGCCACAACAAAGCACGGCCCATGGTGGATCTCGCCCTGCAGGACTCGCGCAGCCATCAACGGAACCACGTGCACCGACCACGAATGACCACGCTGCTCAGAGCGACACCTCCACCACACCTCCACACACCTTGGCGACATCGTGCTCCAGACGGGTGGGCTCCTTGGCCTTGTTGTCCTTGCCGCGGGACTTCTTGATCTTGTGGCGTGCCGTGAGCATGTCTGTTGTTGGTGTTTGGGATCAAGTTGCACGCACTGGTGGGGAAATCCACAGAAGAGACAAAAGGCGTGGACAATAGGATAGAGCAGGGCACGCAACAGCGAAAGGCGACGACACGTGCGAAAAGTGAGTGATGACATGGGGCTTCTGCCAACGATACAAGGGAAGAAAAACACACCGTTGGGGGAGAGAACCCCAAAGGCACTGACACCAACGACAAACACACACACACGCCCACGGTGTAAATGTGCCGGCGTTGACACGTCGCCGAAACTCCACACAATGCCACTATCCCCCACCACCACCCTGCTTGTCATTGCCCTCATGCCATCACAAGCAACTATGCGCTGTCTAGCTGTTGGTGTGGTTCGTGTGCTGCTGTTGTGATTAGTTGCCGCTGCTGCCAGTTTGAACCATGGTTCTGGTGGCGATGCTGTGGTTTGTTGTCTGTTCTGCCACTCAAACACACACCAGGCGGCTGCAGCACCAAGTCAGTGCAGCGTCGTTGAAAAAGTTGCTGGCGTTGCACTTGGGGGTGCAGGAGCACTGCATTACATCGTACACAGAGTGTTCCGAGCTGCAAGGGAAGGGGCCTTTCTGCACCTTCCTCTCAACACAAGCCTCGCACTGGTGTCACCGCCGGGTGCTGTCGCTGCTGCATCATTTGCACCACTGTCACGAACGACAAGTATGTTGTGTGCAAGCTCACACACATACACGCATCTGCACTGTGCTGTTGTTGGCTGTGGTCGCTGATGCTGTTGTTGGCAGGCACGGAACACACTGCAGCCCCTCTGTTCGGTCATGAGCACAGGTGCTTGCACACCGTGTGTCTCCACCATACACGCCTCCGCCACGCACACCAAACACGCACCACGACCCACTCTCGTCGCCGCTTGCTTGGCTCACCTGAAGGGGGTGAAGCGAGAGCCGACCGGAGGGAAAAAGGCAGACGGCATGTGCGCTCGGTCTATTGTGTACACCAAAGTGCAGATTATTGCTTGAAAACATTAGTTAATCATCCACGTAGCAGTACTCGGTCTAACCTGAACTTGGAAATTGCTGATGTCAGCAAAAACCGCACAGCCAAATTAAAACAGAAACCGCCCACTCGCTCGCCAACCAACGAACCAACCAACCAAACCAACCAAACCAACCAGCCAGCCACAGCCAGCTCAAGCAGCACCTTCTCCCTCTCCTTTCTCTCTGCCTTTTGATGCAACTTGCTACTCCTTCGTCTTGAGCAGCCAGCCAGCCAGCCAGCCAGCCAGCCAGCCAGCAGGTCGCATCATCTCAGCACGCCGAGCGCTCACATCGCCTGTGTGTGCACCACAAGCACTTGTTGTAGCAGGTGCAAATCGTGCTTGGTTGTCGCCAAAGTCTTTCACCTCGCCAGCACCAACAGCAGCCCAGCACCCAGCCCCCAAGCACCAGCAGCAACCACAAGAAGCATGTCGACACACAAGTTGATTGTGGTGGGCGATGGTGGCGTCGGCAAGAGCGCCATCACCTTGCAGTTCATGTATGAGGAGTTTGTGGAGGACTACGAGCCAACAAAGGCAGACAGCTACCGCAAGAAGATCACCCTCGACGGCGAAGAGTGCCAAGTCGACATCTTGGACACGGCGGGACAGGTGTGTGTGTGTGGGGGGGGGGGGTGTCTGGGTGTGTTTGGGTGTGTGTGTGTGTGTGTGTGTGTGTGTGTGTGTGTGTGTGTGTGTGTGTGTGTGTGTGTGTGTGTGTG